ACCCAACTCCCCCGCCGCCCCCCCCGTCCCCTTTTTCTCTCCTCACTTTATTGAATTAAGAAACCCTTTTTCTCTTTGTTTGATGATTTGCTTCATCTTCCTTTCATAATCTCCAAAAAAATTAAAAGGAAAATTAATTAAAACCGTGATGAACCTCTATTGACATTAATATTAATGTACGATAAAACACATGTTATTTTTTATATAGAAGATTGCATAATTATCTAGCTCCATCTTCGTCCCTGATTTTCTTAAAGTATAATATACATGGAGATTGAAGGACAAAAAAAGAAAAAGGAAAAGAAAAGCAAAGTAAAGAACCAAACAATGGAAAATACAAAGTTAAAATTTCTACGAAAAGGTGTCTCGATGTGGTGTGAAATGGCATCTCTGACTGTACCAACTTGAGTTTGAAGCGAAAAAAATGATTTATCAAAACAGGGTCCTTTTCCGTTTTTTAGGGAGCATCTAACTTCAAGTTGTTCATCAACACGAACAGGTTTTGTAGGACTGAAAGTACGGTGAAATGCTGGGCCATTAAGACTAATTCGGCCTATTGCTGGACAACAGCCAGGGCCTGGCCTTTAGTTGACAATAAATTGTGGATCTGACACTTCAGATAAATCAGAAACAATTTCATCCCTCGACCATAATTTTTCCATTCTCCTCCTTTATTCATTTGTGCCTTCACGCATGGAGTGCGTCGAGCGTGCATGCTGCTCTCTGGCAGGCTATAAGTGCCAAAAAAGTTTTTCTTTTGGGAACTCCTTTTCAAGTATTAATTTATTACTAATTACTCAAATTACATTAATCACAATTGAATCCACTGTTGTAAATGAAATGGCAACTTTTGAAGACACCTCTATTATATTTCTTCCCCTGTTTATCTCACTTTTTTAATATGTTTTGTATATCTAATTTAAAGTCAATCACCTTGAACTTAACAGTAATGGGTGATTTATTTTCTTTTTTTTTTTATTTTATTTTAAAAGTTATCAACTAAATTTTATTGTCTCTAAATCCTCCAATTTTCCACTAGAATGATTTTTTATTTTGATTTTCATACAAAGGATATGAGTTTTCTCATATTAACTAAGTATTTAGAGCTTGCTTATTTTGATGACAGGATAGGATTGAATAGACCTCATCTTTTGAATTTCTTACGTTATATTTGTCAATATTGTTTCTATTCTTTTAATTCTATAGAATGATTTGAGAGTTGTTAATAGGATTGAATAGTTATCAAATAGTACTTATACTATAATATGACACAAAATTACATATTCTCTTATGAGACTTGGAAAAGTTGGACAATTTCATATGAATAGGATCATATGAAATAATACAAGAGGTATTTTTCTTGATCATGTATTCACTATAAGATAAAATAAGAAATGTGCAGTGGATTAAAGGGGAGTAAACCTTTGGGGATTGCAGGAGCTGAATATAGAACCCCAACCCTACACACACCTTATCCATAGTCTTACACATGCACATCCATATATATATATATATATATATA